CCCCCCCTAAATAATGTCAGAAAGCTGCTTGCTGGACTACCCCCTTTGCTTGAATGTTTTTTTTTGTTTTTGAATACTTTTAAATAAGGGATTTTATAAAGAAAGCGCGCACTGACTTTTGGAAACTTTTGGAAAGCTTCACAACTAAAGAGCTTAGGAAAATAGAATCTCCAAATTTTCAATAGAAATCTCCATCCAAAAGCCTCCAAAAGCATCAAATCTCGATGAAAATCTCCAAATTTTTTAATAGAAATCTCCATCCAAAAGCCTCCAAAAGCATCAAATCTCAATGGAAATCTCAAATTTTTGAATAGAAATCTCCATCCAAAAGCCTCCAAAAGAATCAAATCTCAATGGAAATCTCCAAATGTTTAATAGAAATCTCAATCCAAAAGCCTGTAAGATAAGCAAATCCCAGCAAATTCAAAAGGGAAAAAGTAAACTATAACAATAAAAAAAATCCACTACAACTACCCCTCCCAAAAAAAAAAGACATTATTCTAGGGGCCTTTATAAATCAGTGCAGGGAAAAAAAAATACATAATTCTAGGGGGGTTTATAAATCTGAGGGCCACATTATGAAAAATACCGATGTATAAACGAAGAGTGCCAATGTATATATATATACTCTTAGTATATATATATATATACATATATGTGTGTGTGATTATATATGTTTATGTATATATATTCTTTAATTCACAAGTCCCACCGGGTCCCACCCCACAAAAAATAGAAGGATCCACCAACTAAGTCCTGAGAAGACTGCGCAAGTCCACCACACTGCTCGGGTGCACAAACAAATCCACGAGGAAAAGGGCGATCACATCGGCTCCCTCTGCACTGCCTTGATGGGGAGTCTCATTGGTCAGGCACACCTACAGTACTTGCTTTTGAATCCTTTTTGTGCACTTCACCTGGCTAGTGCAGCATCACGAGTCGCAATGAAAAATGGAAACGATAGAAAGAAAAGAGCCTCGCTCGCTTTCATACAGCAGTCGCTCCAAGCATGGAACAGTAGGAAGTTTGTCGTCCAACTTGAGGAAGCCAAGCCAAACATCAAGTTGTCCCACTGCTGGTTGTTTAGCATCGCCTCATACTGTTTGTCAGGCTGGTGTGGGATCCGATTAACTGGCTTGATTAGGTCGTGTTTATTGATGCATGCTGCAGGCCTTTAACATCATAAAGGCTTGCTAAGAGCTCTTGCACATCAACGCGGGAGGCGCTCAGCACAAAGTCTTGCCAACGCTCATCTTCACCATGGAGGTGTTCCAGAATCCTCCGCAAAAAGAGGAGAAATAAAGAAGGTTCCGACAAAGCAAATGAAGGCCCGAAGCTGCCCAATGACTCAACTCACAATGGCGTTGGACAAGGGAAATCGAAAAGCAAATCAGGCAAGAAACGTTAAGAGGTCTTTGGATGGGAGCTGTCCATCGATGCAAGTTCGTCCCAACAAGACTTTTACTTTGTCTGCCATTGGAGCTCAAGCTGATGGGCCAAAAACGGCCAAACATTGCAAGAAAGCAACAACAAAAATCCGAGTCAGCTGGTCTCAAAAACGTCTATATGTATTGGCCACTGCTAGTGGCCACTCTCGTGACCAAATTCATGACGTTTATTGTTGTGCACAAGCCTGCTCAAATGCACGGGGGTGCTCTTCCCGAAGCGCTACACTTCTGGGAGCTGCACCAAAGCCGTTCCAAGCGCTGAACCTGGCAAAAAAAAAAAATACGCACACGTCCCGGTGGGGAGGGGAGCCGGGTAATTTGCAGCAGCACCATCAACACCATCGCCGGAGCCAAGAGAAGTGCACCTCAGAGTTTTTGATGCTTCGCACATTCACCATTCATCTAACTACTTGACATCACTCCTCCGTAATGCTGCGGCCCGTGCGCAGCAGACTGGCTTCGTACAGGTGCGCTGTCAAAAGGTTCCAGACTTAGCCACATCATGCTTGCAATGTCATGTCCAATGAAAGTTGAAAACATACCTAGGGCCCCAACGAAACGGCAAGGGGACAGTTGCGATTGGACTGAAGATTGTGTGGTGCGGCACCTCGGACGCGTTTCAGGCTGAAACTCTCCAAAGTGCAAGCGTCATGGACGCTTTCGCTTGCAAAGGACGTTGCAGTTTGGGTTGACTCATTGGCTCGTAGTTTAAGTCTAAGTCGTGTCATCCCAATTTACAATGAAGGCCAGTTGGGGCCAAGGCACCAAGGAGAACAGGTCATCGACGGTAGCTGGCAACAAAGCATGTAAGAACGAAGTGCTGGCGACCTTTCAGGATTCCAGTTTCTCAACCATCAGCCCAAAGACCAGCCCTTTGGCAACATGAGGCCCACACGATGCCACCAAGCCTAGCCACAAAACTCAACTTATGAATCACTCGCCACCGAATAACACATCGCGCATTCAAAGCCAAGGGCCCGACAAACTCGATGGTGCTAATGGCAAGGCGAGTGGGCTGGCATGACCATTGCTTAGAATATCAGGCCTCGAAAATAATGCGCATGCCAGCCCGCAAATAATGCCGCGGAGTAACTTCAATTACACAATCCACCACAACTAGACCTGCGGCTGAGCCCGGGACCCTTCCATGCACTGTTTCCGCCTACAAAACTGCAAAGGATTCATCTGGCGTTTTGTTGGCAGCAGAATCCTGGGGGCCCGGCTTCGCTTACCCGTCGCCCTGAGGGCTTTCATTTGGACCCATCATTTTGAATGTTTTTGGCTGCGGCATCGGAGTTTCATGGCCACATTCTGCACACTCAACGGTTCCTCGGGGTTCAATGAAATCGCACCTGCGGGTTTTCAGTGCTCAACCAAAACGACCACTCGTTGCTGCAGCCAGCTCGGGCACCGCAGTTCGCGCGTTCTTTTTCTAACGGCACCACGTGCGAAAGGAGTGGGACCTTGGGGATCTAAAGTGCAATGCAAACGCCCTGTTTTCTAAAAGGCGATTGGCTCGGGCCCTCCATGGCCGCAAGGAGAAATGCCGTGTCCAACCGAAGGTGCGCATGAGTCAATGGTGTCATGCCGTCACGCGTTCAAGTTTCACGCTGGAGTGTATCTCTTTTGACCCATGTCCATGTGCCTCCCTCAGCTGAACCAAAGGCCGCTGGAGCCATGCGAGAGTTGATCTCGCAAGTCGACCGAAACCTTGGTCAGGGAGTCCGCCATCTGAAGGCCTGTTGGATCACTTCCTGGATGCTCCTGATGTTCACCAAGGAGTGTTTGTCTTCAACTGTTGGATTCGATGAGCTCACCGAATCGTTCAGGCTCTTGCAGTCTGTTGCCAACCGTGCTTTCAGCTTTGGCCCAACGCGATGGGCCGGAACTCCAAAAACCAATTCTCCAAGGCTGTACTGCAGGTATGCCAACCTGTCAGCCGCTGTGTCGGCTGTCACCGACTCTGCTGCTAGAGTCGCTCTGCAAACCCGCTTCGGCCTGGATGACTTCCAGTCAACTACAGCTCCATAGCAAGCCTTCTCGGTGACAGTGGCGGGGGTCAGGAGCAGCACTTGTCCATGTTGGCTTGCGCTGCCTTGGGCGTTAGCCCAGCTTGCGTCGCTGTAGGCCATGATTGCGGCGCTTTTGTCGCTGGGCACTGGGAACAACCGAAGTCCTAAGGCCTTGGTGTCCTTCACATGTCGCAGGTGCTGGTACAAGCAATCTAGATCACCATACGTCGTCTCGTGTCCTCTGTTGGACAATGAAACTGCGCTGCTGATCCTACCTGTTTTGTCCTGCAAGCCATTGTAGGCACCCACTGGCTGACCTGAACTCTAGCCAATGCTCTGCCGCAAGGATGTCAGTCTTCTTGTTCTTTCGACTGATGTGTCCCTGCTCCAAACTCTCAATGTCATTAACAGGTGTTGACATGTGCTCATCCGGTTCCAAACCAGGAGGTGGTGCTGGTGGTGCACCAACGGTGTGTCAGATAGGACAGGTGTGTGAACAGGTTTGGAAGGCACGCGACCATCAGAGTTCCAGAAAAGAACACACCTCCAGTTTGACTCCACTACCTTCGACAAGTCGTCAAAAGGATGTGATCGGATATACAACTTCGTTGTATCCTTCTTGCGCCATAAAGACAGTACACCGGCGGTGTGTCGGCACGTGGCCTTTAACGGATCAAAAGTACCGCGTAAAACTGCGGCGTGCTCAAATGCCATGGTAGGTGCAAAAGTCTGGCGCATATGTGAAACATCGTGCGCAATGTGCAATGACTCGGACCAAGGGTTATTCTCCTGTCCCTAAAAGGGAGTGAATTTACTCGGTTCATCAGGCGTCGAACATAAAAATTGTTGACTGTTACACTGTCAAATTTGCTGAAGTGAACAAATTCCCGATCCGTGTTTTCCATCAGGAAGCTATGCAGTGACTCCAGACTCGGAATGTCGAGTCCGTCAAGCAAATCTACAGCTACGGTAGTCTGCGCGTGAAACAATCCACGAGGGCTTCCCAGCGGCAAAATACAGCGAATAAGCTTGGAACACAAATGATGGGGATATACCTGAGCTAGCTTAGTTCTGCTTCCATAGCCGGGCGCTGAGCCTTCCAATGGCTGATGCTGATGTTGAACACCTCCTAGCTTCTTACTACATCTCTTGAATACTGGTGACATGACATCTTCATCGAGATTGTGTAAAAGAGATGTTGGTTTGTTGTAGCAATAGCCATTAGCCATTAGGGTCCTTCATTCCAACTGAACACATATCAAGAGTGCCATAGGTAACACCATATTGTGACAAAAAAACCTTGGAAACATCTGGTGTACCATAATGCTGAAGAAGCAGGATTCTGAATGATAAAATGGCCTCCGTGTTCAACCTGGAATATGGCAATGCGACAGCAAAACTCCAACACTGGAAGAAATTTCTGTCGACGCTGGTCTCTGGCATAGCAATCATGGATATTGGTCACCTGACTCCAAGGAGCACAGTGCGGCGCCATAAAGATGACTTTAGGCTTCTGTTTCTCGATGATCTCCATCGTCCTCTTACGACCATCACTGGTCAAGATGCCAAAACCTGTTCTTAGCTCAATAGGCTGTCCAACACACAAACCATTCATGGCAGCTACTTGACTTAGCCGCGCTGAACCTGCGAACAGTTCTAGAAAATCAATCTTGCCAGACCTGACTGGTCGCCAAGCATAAGAGGAATATGTAAAGCCTTCAACGCCAATCTGGGCTCCGTCGCTCTGAACTAAAGAGCTGGCATGGTCAGAGACCGGAACGTCGGTCCGCGCACTCTCAGAATTCAGTAGTGCAACCGGATCGAGCGGCACCTCAACATCTTCAATCGGATTTATGTCCTTTCTGACCTTGCTGGTATTGACCTTTAGAATACGGGCGCCCAAGTCTATACCAACCATACTACCTTCAGAACTAATCACCTTGCCTTTGACCAATTTACCACTACGAGTTCCATCTGACTTTTGGCTTTGTCTTCTGTCCAATAGTAGATCTTATCTCCAGGGTAGAATGGACCATCACTCAGTTGAAGTCTTGCAGAAATATCTCGTCTCAAATCGATCAAGACTTCATGGCAAGTGTTCTGGGGGCATCAATGTTCTTTTCAGAAGAAAGAAGTGACGCTGTTAGCTGTTCAGGTGTCATGTTCTCTGGATACAAGAGATCAGCAGGTCGCCTTCCAAATGCCATCTCTAAAGGAGATACTCCACCAAAAGTAACCATTGAGTTCCTGGCAAGTGATGCTTGTGGAGTTGACGGTACGTAATCTCGTATCTGGATGGATCCTCCGTCACGGCCTTGAGCATCAGGGCGATCTGCTTTTTATACATGCGAACAGCTGCTTCAGCTCTGTTTGGCCATGGAGTAGTACCAGGTCCTAAAGTAATCGGTCGGATATTATTCCTGTTATAGAAGGCCTCAAGTTCTGTACCCACCAAACCTTGATCACCGACAAGATACTTAGGATTCAGCTGATATGTTTCAAAGTACTCCAAGAGATGTCCAATGGTTACTGCTCTTGTCTTGCCGTCGCAGACATAGGCAGTAGTCATAGAAGTGGTACCGTCATGAATGATCAATAAAAAACTTTGGACTTCTCGTTGATTGCGAGTTCGCCGTGATCTACAAAGGTGAGTTCACCGAACGTTTCGCTTCTCATACCTGAAATTCTTGATCGTGATGGTGCTATCTTGGACTTCTGACATGTATCACACTGTTTGACTACCTTGTCATATTCAAATCCTTGCAGGAATCTTCAAGGCTGATGTGCGTTTCTTGAACTGCTCAGTTGACATGTGGTAATGCTTCAAATGCAGCTTCGAAAGTTCTGTTGGATGAGACAACTTTTCAGGAATTCTCTGCAATGCTGACGGCAATGTCATTAAAACCTTTGGCGCTTTCTTCTCTCTGTGAACTGTGGTCGGTTCAGGTTTCACGTCTTCCCTTGTTTCTTCCTGAGGATCTGGCTTCACTGGCTTCACCGGCTCATCTGGTTCTGCAGGATGAGCATCTGGCTTACGTGCTCCTGCACTTGAGCTTGGCATCTTTGAATGCTCCAATGGCGTTCCAAAGCCAGGTGACCTTTCTGTCTTCCGGAATGACGGAGGTGTCACCTTTTTGGCCGGCGGCGGCATCGAAATAAGAAACGAAGGCGGATCAATCTTGGCATCTCCGCTTGCAATCTTCTATTCCGGCTTTTTCACTGCCGGAATATCGGCTGCTGACTTGTCTTCCTTGGCTTCGCATGTGTCTGCCTTCTTGCATCCATCCTTGTACGAACTGAGCTGGCAAACATCATGGCGTCTAAGACATTATGGTTCGAAGTGCTCACTGGCAACGAAAAACGCTTCAAACCGAACAAGGGACAGGTTAGATAGTCGCAGGCTGGAGTATGTTCGATTGACATGCGGAGATTGCGTAGTTGTTCAACACTGAACAGAATTGGCACGTCTCTCTGGTCGAGGATGTCCATTGCAGTGGAAATCCGCCCAGTGGGTTTCTGGCCATTCTGAAAGTTGATCACCAGCTTCTCACGGACGTTGGATTGCTCACCATTAGCAAATGAGAATCGACTTGATGAAGGCTCGAAGGAGAAATCAATCTTGCTTGAATTATTGCGACGCCTAAATGCCTTCACTAGACACATGATAACGGTCCTCGGACACATCGCTCTGGTACAGACACTGTCGATGATCACGTAGGTCGGACTATACCTCAAGTCGACATATTCACAAAGCAATGCACGGTGAAATTGCAAAGCGTGCGATCTATTTCACAGCTTGGGCCTGTGCGTCGGTTGACTTCTCGATTTGCGCTGTGTCATGTGTGGGTGACTGACCTCTCTACACTTTCTGACACGCTCCCTTCGCCCACACACTTACAGCACATCTCGAGGCGTTCTGCCCCTGCAAAATGGGGACATGTGTCGCAAAAGTGGATCTTCATTCCACGGCGACAAACCCTGTAGCACATGCTCTGTCGCATGAGCTTCAAGCTATGCTCTGAGGCCAGCTGAAACTCTTGAAGTGCCATGTCACGCTGTTGCCTCAGCTTGCAAACCGTGTCCTCCAGCTCTTCAATGTAGGTGTCGAGCTGGAAAAGTTTGTTCTCCATCTCTTTT